AACTTTAGATATTGGGTTGTTGAAAAAATCATGATGCATTTTTGCATAGAAAAACAGAAAAAACGTCATGACTTTTCCAACAACCCAGTATATTTATTACATAATATTTCATATACCCCAAATAACATAAATGTGTATTTAAGACATAAAGAATAATAAAATGAACCTCCCTGTAAACATTCTATAGCTTACAGAGGGGGCCCATATTTTGAAGCCCCGTGTGTCTCCGTCAAATCTAAATCATTTTCCTCTCTTTCAGAGATATTGTGCTTCTGAATTTATTTTTACTTATCATCCTCTTGCTTTAATAAAATTATTTCCTTATGTACAAATGTATTTCTAAATAATGTGTGTGTGTTTAAACTCTATATAAATATTATAGTACATATGATCTTTTCTGACTCATTTATAATTCAACATTTTTTCTGTGGCACCTCCACACTGAGGAGTACGTACAACTGTGGTTCCAACTTTCTGACTACTATTTAGCATTCTATAAAATAAATGTGACATATTTTATTAATGCTCTTGTTGATGGGGCTGGCTTGATCTCAAATTTTGTTCTAACAATACTCCTATGAAAATAATTGTATATGGATCCTGGTGCCCATGGAGACAAGAACTTTTTCAGGACTGGAGTCTTGGGGTGAGACTTATGAGCCATCAGATATGTGCACAGTCAAACTTCAAGGTAATGTCCTATTATTTTGCAAAATGGCTCATAATTAACCCTAAAATGTTTCATGTATGAAAATTCCCATGTTCCACGCTTTTATCAACCCTTAGTATTATGTAAATCCTTAGTAAAGTACTGTCTCATTTATTGGGTCTTTGGAAAAGTCATGATATATTTTTGTATAGAGAAGCAGAAAAATGCATCATGACTTTTGCAATGACCCAATCATTTACATTTCCAATGATTAGGAGTGTTGTAGAGCTCTTTTTACAAGAAGAAATGACCTGTTGCTCCTATTCTGTATCATATCAGCTTTTGTATTGTTAAATCTCTTTTCTCCAGTTGTATAGGACATTAGGTAGATTAGGAAATTAGAAGTTCTTGGGCTACCCCATATTCTAGTTGTTGACAGAATCAGATTCCTCATGGCTGACCATGGTTCACATCCTGGCCTCAGAGCCTTGAAAAATACACTGGCCATACATGTGTGCATGTGTATACCACCATGCCAACTGCTGGTCCCAGAAGTTGTTGATTTTAAATATAGTCAAATATATTAATATTTTACTTATGAACAATACTTTGAGTTTTGTTTAAAGAAATCTTCCCTATCCTAAAATCATGCAAATATTCTATTATATTTTCTTCTAAAATATTTTTTTAA